TGAAGGGCCCTCATAAATGTTCTTGGGGCTGTGAAAGATCTAGCAATTTTTAAACAATAAAGGTATGTTCATAGCCGTGATATTCAGCAAAACACAAAGCAGGAAATAATGGCTTCTGGTCTGAATTACTCAAAGGGAACTTCAAGTTGTCCCAGCTGAAGGCTGGAGTTACAGTGACAACCTAAAATCTACCCCCGCTGTCTCCAGCAGGAAGGGACTGGCCAGGATGTCCTCAACTTCAGTCTATGGTGGACAGTGACAGTCACAGGTTGGCTCAATTTGGTTGAAGCATTTAAGAAAACTCTTAATAGTGTGACCAAACACAGGGCTTGCAAGCCCATTTTTAATTGTAAGATGTTGTATTATTTAGATTTTCCAACTCCCGGTTTATGAATGCAGCATTTTTCAGCCTCTCCTTATTCGTAATTTCCAGAGGAACAGTGACAGGGACCCCTTGCCTCCGAACACCCAATCTGACTTCAGTGCCAATCCATACAGCAAAGATTCCTTGTTGTCCTCCTTGGAAAAAAGCAGCAGTGTTTGATCACCCAAGCTTTACTTTCAATTTTTACTGATTTGTTTTTGTTGGTTTTCCTCGGTATGCCCGTGGGACCATCACTGGACATTGTCCAGGGCACAGCATTAGGAATTACAAAGAAATACTGGAAAGCAGCATAGACTAGGGTGTAGAGATGTAGAATCCACGCTAACACCACATTTTAATAGAAAATAAGATTTGTTTTCCCCTTACTTTATATAGTTTGTTTCTAAGAAGTAGAACTGCCTAGCTTCAGCTCCATGCAAATGAAATTAATGACCCAATATCTAATTGCTACACACAATGTGCACACTTGTACCCCATAAACTAGGATTTTAGTAAAATCGGGGAGGGATAGCTCACATACGTGTCTTCATATATCCGTTCTGTTGAGATGTATTGCCGGATTCCCTAGTACAGGTGGCTAATGGATCCAAAATGTTTAAGGTTTATATATTCTGACATGGAATGTGTAAAAATCTCACTGTAAGCAATTACTGTAAAGCCACCGTAATACATGAGCCTGCGTTCATCCAATACACAGAGAATTAGAAAACAAGAAGAAAACCCATAGAATAGGTCAAGGGAGCCGCCAACAACCTATCACAATTCTCTACTGTTGATCATTGTTGGAGAACTAACGCCATATCTGAATTATCTGCATCACTTTCCTGAAGAAGTCCTGAGCTTGTGTCAAACAGCACCCCACAGTGGAAAAACAGACTTCTCTGCAGACACTTGGATCTACTAGGGTTACAGCCATCTAGCGCCTCAACTAACCATGGGCTCCTCCAGAAATGCCTCATGTGATGAGAGAGGATGAGAGGCGTGTGGGATCCACGTTACCATTACCTGCTCATGCACCATTTTTCCCAGGCTTTGCTGACTTGATCCTGAATTAATGAGTGTGTTATATGATATCTAATAAAAATGACTGGGGTACAGATACTGTTTGGAATGTGCCACATAGTTGGATCAAGGCTAAATCGATTTCATCTCTAGTTAACACATGCTTGTTTTCTGTCTCTCTTGTCTCTCCACAATCCATACCTCATTTTTTTTTACCCCAATCTGGGAAACTTATCTCCTAAAATGCCCCCATCAATCAGCCAAAGACACTCTTCCTGACAAGGCATCTGCCAGTTTTACTGAGCACAAGCAGTCACTAGTTTGGAGGATGCCTCCCACACTCCCTAGAGCCGTATGTTTTTCTAGCCTGCCTAACCACCCAAGTGCAATTTGGGATATTTCTACTTCCCTCCAGTTTCTATTAAGATAATAGCACTACTTTTACAAAATTGAGCACAGGACATAGCAGGGGTCGACATGGAATAGAATAGAAGCTGAATCTGCTGAGTGTCTACATACTATTTCTTCAGGCTTTTATATTTCCACTCATTTTGGTCTGCTTTGTCTCAGTGTCTGCCCCCCACACTAAGTATGAAAATCAGATACCTCCCTGGACGTGCACCCTTTTTCCTGGAAGGCTTCACTGATAACTGGCACCACTTCCATTTTGCAGACCTTTATGTAAAGCCTCTAAGCGTAAGCTTTACAAAATGGAAAGAGAGAGCCAGAAAGAGACAGAGAGACAGAGAAAGAGAGAGAGAGAGTTGGCTCTAGGCAGAAAGGAATGGAAAAGAAAGGAAAGGAAAGGAAAGGAAAGGAAAGGAAAGGAAAGGAAAGGAAAGGAAAGGAAAGGAAAGGAAAGGAAAGGAAAGGAGAGGAGAGGAGAGGAGAGGAGAGGAGAGGAGAGGGAAAAGAGAAGAGGAAGAGGAGGGGAGGGGAGGGAAGGGGAAAGGAGGGGAGGGGAGGGGAGGACAGGAGAGGGGAGGGGAGGAGAAGAGAGGAGAGGAGAGGAGAGGAGAGGAGAGGAGAGGAGAGGAGAGAAAAAGGAAAGAAAAGGAAAGATGAGGAGAGGACCCAAGTAGTCCTGTCTCCTACAAGTTTCAGTTGTGAACACACCCGCTGGCCACAGCCTGAGAGTTGTGCGTGGGCACAGGTGGGTCCCAGGCTCTCTGGCTGGATGCAGCTTCAGCACTGGGCCTGAATGAAGACTTTCATTGCTGTGTGCTGTTTTTGTTGGCCAGTAGCCATGACAAACATTTGCAGGTGGCTTGGCCAGATTTTGACACTTAAATATTTGAGGTTGTGATAAAAATCAGAATATTACTCCAATATGGTTCTGTATGCTCATGCATGTGGATGAACATGTGCACGCGCGCGCGCTCGTGCGCGCGCGCACACACACACACACACACACACACACACACACACACACACACACAGACGAAACAGCGTTTTTCAAAAGCTATCTGCAATTTCAAATGCTTATTTGCAGACATCTCCCAAGGGAACTCGTGTTTTAAAATGAGCACTCATTTCCTCTTTGCTGAGGGAAATAAAAGAGCCAGCCATCCCCAAATGTTACCACCTAGAGTTCTGTACTCAATCCACTGGTGAGAAGGGCAGGGCTGAGCCCCAAGATCATCTGGGCAAGGCTCTGCATGGATCACATGGAGAAGAAGCATAGAAGTGACAGGATATGGGGGGCTTGAATCAACTCAGTAAACACAACAGGGAAGGACTCTGAGAAAAGAAATAGCCTCCCTCAAACTGGGCAACGAGACAAAGTCCTGAAAGTAACAATTATCTCCCAGAGCACACCAGGGGAGACACACAAACGCCCCCAAGAAGCAGGATGAATGGCAGAGTGACACAGCCTACAAATGTCACCCAAAATGTACAGTTCAGAGCCAGCTGGGTAAATTATGGACAGAGTCAACCTCCATCTCAAAATTTAGTACTAGCCTTAAAAGGATTGCTTCATAAAACCCAGTGCTGCGTGAACAAAGGGGAGCACTAAGGGCCTCAGAAACGGTGGTGGGCAAGGGTACAAGGGGCAGCCAGGGGGCTGCAGGGGGGAAGGAATGCTGTAAAACTGCTAGTAAATTCTAGCACGTTTTATGCTTTTCCCCCCTTGAAAGAAAAATAAAATAATTATAATTAGCTGGTCCAGCTGTGAATTGTCTGCCCACAGCCAGAGCCCAAGAGAAAAGGAGTCCCTTGAGGCTTAGACACCATCTTTAATGAAGCCACATTACCCTCCTAGAACTATCTCCTGGTTGAGAGATAGCGGCAATGCTTGCTTTCCAAGACGCTTGAGACCCAACCATTATCAGAGGTGCGTCTTGAAACAAAAGCAAGCCCAACAGCCACACTCACTGTCTCTACTTTGAAAAGAGGCTCATAACAAACAGAAGAGTCACTCTCTACAGCTCTGGTTTCAGCAGGTGTCCTTCTGATGAACTGAGAAAGCTGAGAGATAGTTCCCTGTTCTAGAGCATCCAAGGAGTAAGCCAAGGCTGCTTCCTGTGTCCCCTGTTGTGCTCAGGGAGAAGACACAAGGAAAAACTGTAAGGAAGCATCTAAACTGGTTTTAAGTCACCACAGCCAGGAGCCACCTTGGATTCAAGCTGCATTCTGATGCGTGTACTGGACCACAGCAAGTTCCCCTTCTAGTTTCAGCACACAGTTCTGGGAACAGGGGGCAGCCAATTGTCAGCGCTTGGCAATGTACACAAAAGAAGTCAGTGTCTCTCTTCCCTAAGAAGCCATGTACTCCTCCATCTTGTATTTCATCTTGACTCTTTAGAGGTTGGAAAGAAGGCATACCACCCTTATTTCTGGAGATAAGGAAGTGGGGGTGGGGGCAAGGATTCTGCATTTCTAAGAAGCTCTTGGGTAATGCCCACATTGCCGATGGTCATACCACAATCTGTGCAGCAACGGGCTGGACCAGTCATCATATGAAGAAGCGAGAGCAATTTCCAACACATAATATGGGCGTCAAGATACTTCTGCCAGCGTTCCTCAATGTCTCAATATCGTCTTGTTCCATAAATGAGAGGGAATGGGTCTTCTTACTCTGTTTTGTTTGTTCCAGAAATAAGTGTGGGCCAAAGAAGAGGTCAGAAAAGGATGATGAAAAAGAAACAACAACAAAAGAGAAGCAGGGAAGACAGACCAGAAAGATAGGCAGTTGTAGAATATACTGGTGGTCCAGCCAAGCAGCTGAAAAACTCCTAGGAAGGGAGTGGGGGTTGGGAACACACTGCAAGGAGATGTCTCTATGAGGCAACATGGAGAACTCTGTGTTGTCACCAAATGCTCATCCTGACCACTCTTCTGTGGTCAGGATAATACCACTAATTTTTTTTTTTCCTGTCATTCACAAATCTTATTTGAAGAAATGAGGTCACAGAATGAATAGCTTTCCTTCCCTTGACATCTAGGATTAAAATAGCTCCCACCAAATGGAGACACATTCTTTCATCAAAAGCACCACTCTGACCTCAGGGCAGCATCACATCAGACAGAAAAAAACAAGTCCAAGTAACAAGAAACAGGGAAAATACATGTTGCCCGAGCTCCCCAACAGACAGTGAGGAAGTGTCCTTACCCGATCTGGCGGTTGGTGGAGGGGGCCTGTGTGATGACTGAGCTGGACTGGGGCGATGGCATGGCTTGCTGAATCACAACACTCGTGTCGTGGTTGGGCATCCGCGTGCTGCCCAGCGGGTGAGCTCCAGGCCCCGTCATGGCTCCACCAACTGTATTGTGCATGGAGATATTCTGCCCAGAGAAGACAGAGGAGAAAGATCAGAAGAAGCCAATGTTTCATCTACGCCCCAGCCCTCCAAGGCCAAAGCTAGGGATCTGATTACATCACCTAAGCAGAGTTATGGCTTCTTGCAAGGTGTCGGCTCATTGGTCTTGTTAGAACTGAACAGTTAGGAGGTCGAAAATGATTACTCACCCAAAAGAGTAAAACATAATGGGAAATGACTTGACATTTGCGGAGCCACCAGCCACCCTGATGGAAGGCTCGCATGGTGGAAGGGGAGGAGGGTCAGTGTATGCCTTCTCTGACTGGGTGACAAACACTACTAGAGGCACAGATACTGCAATCTTGTGGATTTAGTTCTTCATCTTGCTATGCACAATCATCATACCGGGTTGATTTCCTTTCTCTCAGTACTCCAACACTGCAACCATGTATATTCTTTCCCAGGAAACTGATGCTTTTCAGGACTATAACCAGGGTGCTGAACAATCTGTAGAATGTGAAGGGATGGTTCTAATAGATCGAGTCAGGGCACTGGGGACCCAGTGGCAAGGGTAACACTTGGAACACAAGTCTGTGTCCCCACAAAATCACTCTCTGACAACCATATAGAATAATGGAACGTAGAGCTTGTCCTCCAGATTATGGAGTGCTGGTGTGTGGAGCCCTTCAACAAACATGACTGCCTGGATGACCTAGGGAAGGAATATCTCTGAGCCACACAATGGGTTACTGTCATGCATTGATTTCTGACAACTGTAATGAAAGCTATGCTGTTTGAAATTAGCTAAAATAAAGTTGCGTTAAATAATTGTACTGGGTAGAAAAACAAGGAAGTAGGACAATAAGCTAGAATGCCTACCAAGGCTGAAGAGAATGGGGCTGAAATGTGACCAAGTCAGAACCTAGCATAGTAAGAGAAAGTGCATAGCCAAGCAGGCAACAGGCAAGAGTCTGAGGTACACCCGTGTGCAGGCAGGTAGCTTTAGTGAGCCTAGGAAGGTAGAGGGCTTCCAGAGGTCAGTGTTGAAGATAGGGGGAAGAAACGAAGTGTCAGTTGCAATTCACTTGAGGAAAAGAAGTATATATCTGTCCACACTTTGGTGTTAGCAAGGGGAATAAAATCAATGTTACCCAGGAGAATGTGAAGTGGCCCTTTGAATTTCTTCTGCAACGAGCAGGATTTCCTGCACTATGTGTTAAATGATGGTGATAACATGTAAGGTATTGGGGCAGTTGCACCCATCACGTGGCACCTTTCCTGGGTTTCTGATTTCTGAGCCCTGACCACACAATTTGTAAGGAGTCCAGATGGAAAACGGGCACCTGGCTTAGACTGAGAGCTGACTGTGTCATCACAGGGTCCCAAAGGCTCATGTATATATATGAGCCCAAAGGCCCTTCTTGTACATTGGAAGGTTTTCTTGGCATGGGGAAATTCTGTGGCTAGGCAAACAGAAAAGGAAGGAAATGATGTCTAGAGTTGAGTGGCTGTGCAGGCGAGGGGTTTGCTATACTTTCCTTTATAGGATCTAAAGCTTCAAAAGTCACTAAAATAATGTTAAAATAAAGATCATGTGTTATTCCTCTCAAAAGTGAACTTTAGCATCCTTACATCCCCAGATCTAGAACACCATGTGTGTTATCTTTTGTATTGGTTAGCTCCTCAAACTTACACAAAATTTTTTCCATACTTCTTATAAGCACCTATGTTTCAACAATAGGTCCAAAGGTTAGAAGAATTCTGTCTCTTTTTATATTTTTTTATGGTGTTGTTTCCATTGTATATCACTAGAGCTGTACAACCTCATGTTTAGAATCACAACTTTATGCACAGAAGAGAATATAAAAATATACGAAGTCTCCCTGAGTTACCCAGGTCACCTCTTTTCTGTAATGCCCAGATGCCATTTCAAATCCTACCAATTTTCCCCAAGCAAGCCCCTCTTTCTATATTTCTAGGCCTGATTCTACCAGCCCGTACCTAAGCACTGTCATCCCCTTTCCTGTAGTGCAAACATTTTCAACCCAGGGGTTGCAACCTCTTTGGGTTCGTCCATCAGATGTCTTGTTAATCAGATATTCACAGTAGCACAATTACAGTTATGAAGTAACAATGAGATACTTTTACGGTTGGGGGTCACCACACCATGAGGAGCTCTATGAAAGGGTCACACCATCAGGGAGGTTGAGAACTGCTGCTGTGGTGGGAGAGATGTCTGCCTTTCTTTACTCTTGCCAGCTCTTCCCCCGCCCCCTTCCCATTTGACCACACAGAGAGCTCTTCAGAAGATATAACCCGTCACTCTGCACACGGTGCCCACTCTGCATCTCCACCCGGAGTCGTGGCGTTGCTTCTTTGCTTTCAAAGAAACCAAAAGAGCTGTTTGTAGCCTCCGCAACTGCTGCGGAACCTTCCTACCAAGGAGCTCATCTAATCCTGTCTTCATTCTGGTTTTTAGTATCTCCTCCCACCTCTCTGGAATTCTCCTGTCTGCATTCTGATCTTACTCCATGTCAGCTCCAGACCCTGTAATATGATTTTTGTTTTGTTTGTTTGTTTGTTTGTTTGTTTGTTTTTGGACACCAATGCTCTTGTTCTAACTTTATCTTCAACTGTCAGACTAGCTATTCCATGGCAAATCTACACCTCCCTAGTGATGGGAACCTTTTCCCTTATAGGAATTTTCATAAAAGTCTACCTGTGCCCGAGCTTATTCCCTCATTTGTAATCACAATGAGAGGAGAAACTAAGGCTGGTTTGCTCTCCACCGGGATTCACATCACAGGTGGATGAGTAGTAAATGTGGAGGGAGTCAGGGACACACAGGACAGTATTCCTAGGATACTGATTGCTGAGCCTTACTCCTTTATTCCCAAGCCAGCTTTGGAGAGCACTAACATCTCATGTGCTCAGCTGGACTTTAGAAAGCATGCTAACAGCAGCAGAGTTTTAGATGTTAAGAAGCCTGTTCTCAAGTACAGGCTGGAGAACCAAAGGAGGTCAGGACTAAGAAGGAAAATTGAAACGAAAGCTTTTGAAACATGCTCACGGAATCCCGAGGCTATTAAGTGGTAAGCTTCTGGCCTTTGAAAAGTTTTCTACAAATGACCAGCGACCTTCTTTATGTCCGCCGTACAAACCAGGCAAAACCAGGCACAGGATGCACCTCAAGGAACTTGGTTTGCATTTGTGAGAACATAGTATGCTACACCAGAGAAAAAGTCTCACCCCAAGATGCCAAAGCTTATGACCCTTTCCTGAGGCTCATTAAAGAGAACATAATCATTATCCAGGAATAAGTCTTACATCGTCTCCTTAGAGTTTTTAAAACCTCTTTGTCTCTGAGTTTACTACAAAATGACTTTTGAATTATATTTTCACCCTTTCATGATTCCCCAACACACACACACACACACACACACACACACACACACACACTGTATGCTAACTTCCCTTAGATCCAGAGAATGATTTTAAAACATTTTGGAAAAGTAAGAAATCTGGCAGAAGCATTCTCATTTCACATTAGGAGAAGGTGACTGTTTTCTTTAAGTGTTACGCAGGAATTCAAACACGGAATTATTTTTCTGAGTTCACATTGTCCCAATTATGGACTCAAAACCTGTCTTTATCGATAAAAGAATAGCATTTTACATCCAGATAAATTCAACATCCAGTTTCAGGAACGCAAGGAGTGAGTTATCGTGCTGATTTATTTTTGATAGTGCAGGTGGGTGGAATTGAAGTGAAACAATGTCACCAAACACATGGCACTAGCTGGATGTCAGTATACAGACACAGATCAGATGGCTGCCTTGAAGTTTGGCCTTTGGCCTTTTCTTGTTCGACATCTTTATCAACAGTTTGGATGAAGATATAAAAATCGTGCTTGTCAAATCTGCAGTTGACACAAAGTTGGGAGACAGAGCTAATGTTCTGGAAAGCAGAATCAGGTTTTCCTTGAGCCAACTGTGTGATCTGGCTTCCAAAAATGCTAACATAAATCTAGGTTGTTTTAGAAGTGAAGCGTCCTGATCAGAGGAAGTAATTACCCCACTGTAGGGTACGTTGGCCTGAACACATTTGGCCACCACATTTTAAGGGGAAAATTGACAAATAGGAGGGAATAAGAGTAATGAATGCATTCAAAATGCATTGCATGGCGAATGGCTGAGGAACCAGGGAATATTTAGTCTGAAGAGGGGAAGGTCTGGAGGGTCACGCCAAATACCTTCAAATATTTGCAGGATTAGACACAGTCTGCATAGCTCCAGAGGGTATAATTTCAGAACATGGAGTCACGGTGCTAAGAAGTCAATCAGAACTACAACTTGAGGGTCTATGTTGAAGCAGGCTCTATGACAGATGTTTTATAAAGCACCTTCTCTAGTTGTGGTGATCCTGCAAGGTGGGCATCACTGCCTTCGTTGTAAGAGATAGAGCAAATGTCACCAGCACCGACAAAGTCACTGACCTCTGCCCACCCTTGGTCTTATGGGTCAATACTTCAAAAACGTAAATTTGAACTTATGTCAGAATGATTTTATTAGTGTGTAGAGATATACAAAGCCAAAATAAAATATGCCATAAAATACCCAGCTCCTTAGGTCTGGAGTAAGCCAGGATGAATGATTATCATCCTGAGTCAGGGATGTCCATACAGAATTCTTGCACCCGGAAGGGAAATAGCATGGATCTCTTCTATGGCAAAGGCACCTTCATTGCCATAGGTCCACATATTTGAGATGATCGGGTACATACACTACTTTGGAAATTGTATTAGTCTGAGAGTTAGTATGTTTCTCCCATCCTAATCTCCCCTGCCGGTACCCAGTGGCCATGTAACAGGGGTTGGGGAGTCCAAGCCCTCATGGTCTACCATTTCTTCAGTGTTGGCACCACACAAGTCTCTTCTGCATCTTATGAGCCACTAAATATCTAAAACAGATATTTGGGGCTGTGATTCGTTGGCTTACAAACTGATATTTTTTCTACAACCATAAG